GCTATATTATTGACTTACTTTTTGTAAGCAATTGTGTTAAATACACGCGAGATGCTTACGTAAATCCAAGAGTTGGCCAATCCCTTTTTTTCAGTGTAGATAGATCTTTATTCTCAAATGTTTGACTTTATTGTTGACATTTAAACTCAGTTTTTGCCTTGTTGACTTTGTTTCTCAAATGCAAAATTGTGTTTTTATACTAAATCAAATTTCAGGACTTTGTAAATTAAGTTTTTACACAAGTTTTCCAAAATTTGGCATCAAATTCATAATAAGCACATAAGTCATAAAAAAAACATTTTTTTTGCCTCAGTATTTGGTACGTTGTGTTTGTTCATTTTCAATTAAATTTAGGGTTTCAAATTGGTTGAAAGGCATTGCATTTTGTTTTATTTATTTTTTACACAGTGACCCAGTTTTAGTTTTTTTTGTTTTTTGTTATTTGAAGGGTGTTGTAGGTGTTTTTACTGAAATGATTTCAGGCACTCTTTCAGCTGTGTAAGATATTATTAAATATAATTTCAAGGAAAGAAAAAAAAAACAGACCAGACCCTCCAGTGGCAAATTGACTTCCAAATTTCTTCTCTTTCCACTCCTTTTGATCCATCAAAGTTAAAGAAAAATGTTGAAGGTGAGTGAAGCTACTGTGGATAGAAATTCACAAATAATTATTCTACAAGGCACAGAACCACGACCAAAGGTTGTTTTGGAGGGAAGAAAATACTACAAAAAGCAGTTTGGTATTGTCACAATGCAACCACATAAGATGGAAGAGGGCAGTATATGTGCCATGTGTAGCCTTTAAAATCCTCATTAGTCAAGTTTTACATATGTACACTGCTCAGTTAAGCTTTCCCACACAGAGAGCGTTAATTTGTTTTCCTGTTGAAATGAACATCTGTACAACAGCTGCATCATCTCAATGGGTGATTTGAGAGATTTTCTTTTTATTACTTTAGCTGTTTTTCTCATTTTTACATTTTAGGTCAAACGTGGACCCACTTGCAGACTCAAACACAAAGCAGAATAAAAGCAAGCTTTATTATCAAATCTACCTCTGAAACTGAAACACAGAGACCTACTCAAGGGAAGCAAAAAAGTAAAACAGACACTCCAACAAAGGATGGGGCAGGGCTATTTATACACAGAAAACAGGCTGGGGATGAGAAACAGAAGAGAAATGAGATGTACACAAATGCAATCAGGACAATAAAGAGACAGGAAGTAAAACTCTAATCAACGGAGGAAGCCACCTATCAGAATAAAACAGTAAATTAACAAACAATTAAAAGAAGACAACACCAAGACATGAATAACCTAACTTTTGGAGAACACAATAAAATGAGACGGATTGGGAAGAAACAGAAGACACTAAGGGAACTACACTCGTGAAAAATAATCAGCTCGGCTGAGAAACTAAAGTTGACCGAGGATTCACAACCCAAAACTAAGACTGTAAATCATTTTAACAGGCATTCAAACTCCATAAACACAAAGATACCCAAGTGAAACTTTAAGATACTAGAATAGTAATGAAAAAATAATGAAAAAGCAGGAATCCATTTCTCCATACAGACCAGAGTTCACATAATACAGAAAAACTAAAAGTGTCAGCGTACCAGGATAACAATGAATACATGAACCCAGACACAGGATCACAAAACAGAAAACAAAGACTCAGCCACATCACAAGCAATCAAACTCACGTTTAGAATAATAAAGGAACAAAAGTTAAACTCAAATGTGTTCATTAAGATCCTAAATTCAAAAAACTTGATGAGGACGGTCCTCAGTCCTGGTCCTTGAGTTTCTCTGAAAACTTTAGATTATTTTTTTTTATATCTTTCAGCTTTATGTTTTGCTTTCTGTATTATATCTATATAGACCCAGTTCTGGGTCTGTTGCTGTCTTACTTTATGATTCCTACTCATAATATTTATTGTTTGCAATCCAGTGCTTTGTTTCTTGTATATTTATTTATTTATTTTTGCATTTCAGTGTTTTCCCTGTCTCTCATCCATCTCTCTCTAATTTCTGATCATGCCTGTACTGCCCTCTCCATCATGTCTTACATGAGACTCTTAGTATTTGTCTTTTATTTCCTGTTTTAGTTTGAAGATTGGTTTTCTTTGATTCCTTACATCAGTTTACTTACTCTTTTGTCGTTTACCATTTACCATTCTGTTTTTGGCCGAAATTAAATCCTCGTTATACTACCCCCAGCTTTGTGCTTATGGTCCCACTTCTTTACATTTCACATATTTTGGCACATGGGTTCAACAAATTCAGGAGAAAAAAGAAAAAAACTAATAATTCCAGTTTCCCTTTTTTCTTTTTGCTATTTGAAAGCATTTTTGTAGTTTTATCTTGTTGCTGTGATGGGTAAAGATCCAATGAGTTCTGTGAAGCTTTTTAAAGGATTCCGCTTCCCCCTGTGAGCAAGGCTCTTCTACCTTTATCTCCACTAAAGCTAAGCATAATATTTCCATGTTGCCTCCACCTCCTAGCCATTACAAGGCTGTGAAGAGGATTTTCCAAGGTTAAGATGTAGATTAGAGATGTTTTCAAAATAGATTTCAACCCAGTGAAGATTTTCTTTCTCTTTCCACAGGATTAGTGTATATGAGTTGTACTCTATTCTTCCCACAAACAAGCAGCTTACTGTATATATATTTCCCACCCAACCCCAGGAGGCTTTGGAGCTCTTCAGACCAGACTTCATCAGCCGATCTCAGGGTCGACTGAGGAGGTTGGAGCACAGGGCTAGGATAAGGAAATCACTGCAGGACTCCAATCCAGACCTGGTGCAGGGCCTTAGGGAAAATCGTGTCAAGCAAAAGAGGAACTGCACCACACCAGATCCACTTAGCGGTAAGCACAGCTGAATAACTCAGGTCGAAACCTGGAGCAGAAGTAAGCCACTTAGTAGAATATAATGTCACATACTTATTGGCCCACCAATCTGAATGATTTGATTCTGCTGTAAAATGACAGCAGCACATCAGGAGCTCTAAGTCACAGTGAAAGATCCTGGAGGTTGTGGAAGTAAAAGTAAGGCAGGAGCTCTTGCAACAACAGCAGGCAATCCACAGTGTAGCTACTGCAGATCAGATAGGATTCAGTCCACAGCAGGCCCTCATCTCCTACATTGATCTTTTACCATGTATCCCATCTCTTCTGTCACTTCTACAGAGACAGAAACATTCATCAAACCCATGAAGCACTACGATGAAAGCTCCTCCAGTCAGTGTAGTTTTCTGGAGACACTGCAGCCTCCAACACACAGAGTGAGAAATAATTAAATAAGAAGCTCGTAGCCATACCATATTGAATTTTTCGAGCATTTTGAGGAACTGTGAATTGTTTCTCCAATAATTCTTTTTAACCTATCTAAACTGGGGTGGACTGAAACAAAGGGGAGGACATTACATTTTATTCCCTTTAAAGTGTAGTGGCATTTATCCAACTTTGCTCTCTGCTGGACATTTTCTGGTACTGCAGATCGGTTAAAGCACTGTTTTCTGCATGCAGGAAATAAAAAAGTTTCAAAAAATAGACCATAATAATCCTTTGGTTTTGTTTTGTGCTATTTCAAGTTTAAAAAAAAAGATTAGTCAAAAAAGCATTCATACGCAATGCCAAGTATAATTTTTAATACATATAATGATGTGTATTTTTTTTAATCGTGGTTGGGTTATTTAAGGTTCATAAAGGTGTTCACTGTGCAAGAAATTGGCTTCTATATACATTTTTCTGAGCATTAATCTCCAGTTTGTGCTTTTGAAAAATGTGGGATTTTATTACATTGGTGGAATATGAGCTCTACACAGGTCACATAATATCAAATGTTCATAAATGCATCCTAATTTTAAGAGTAGCAACACATCCCATAATAATCATTTCCTGGCTTTTTTTTGCTGGATAACAGCCTGTTTTTTTCTGAAGTTAGGAGGGATGTGTTTTCAGATCATCTCTCGGCTCTGAATTTTGTTTTGGAAGGTCATGGCGGGGTCATGAAATTAGGAACCATGAATAGCTCACAGTCATCTCTGACTGAAGTTTGGATTCTAATTATAAACAGAGTTAGTAGGACTAGATATGCCCGTGCTTGGCATGTGTGTGGGTTTGATATCTGTCCATGTGTGTGTGCGTGTGTGTGTGTGTGTGTGTGCGTGTGTCTGTGTGTGTGTGTCTGTGTGTAACTGTCTGAAACAGAGAGATCACACACAGCCCTCAGTGTTCATTTACATATGCGAGATTCATTTACA